CCCCCCCCCCCCTCTCCCTGCTTCCTCCCGCCTCCTCTCCTCCCTGCTGAAACCACACCGACAGATGTCGTACGTCGGCTACGAGCACGTCGATCACGACACGGTGTCGGACGCCATCGCCGGACAGACGCTCTTCATCCACGGCAGCAATGTTGACGAGGGCAGCGGGGCCTTCATCAAGGAGACGGCAGCAGCGAGGAAGGAGAAGAAGAAGAAGCTCCCGCCCCCCACCGCCGACGGCAAGACTGCCAAGGCCGAGCGCCGCCAGCGCAGCCTCAAGAAAACCGGCGGCAAGCACGGCGGCGAGCAGCAGCAGCACAGGAGAAGGAAGGCGACGGCGACGGCGGCGGCGGCGGCCGCGGCGGCAGCAGGGACGAGCGAGTCCGTCTCCGAGCCCAGCAGGTGCACATCCTTTGCTTCGGACGAATCTTCGGTCTTTCTGGCTCGTTTTTTTCCAGTTTTGCTAGGTCGGCGTATTGCGCTCAACATAAGCCCAATAACTCCAAAATCCCAACATCACTCAACATCATTTGATGTTTTCCACGCCATGGTAAGCATTTTCTTTCTTTCTTGGTTCCAGTCTATGGGTACCTCGCACAGCGTTAGTGGCGAGCGGAGTGTCCTAGACTATCTGTTGTTGATTTCTATTGACTCGCGGACCCTTCGGGTCCATTTTAATTTCGAAGTACTCCTTTTTGGGTAAGTTTAGCCTGTGTCAAGTGTTAGGCTATGTAGTACGGGCAGACAAAGGCACTGCGTATAGAGAACGGAACGGCTTTTAATGTGAATATAACAACAACAACAACAACAACAACAACAACAACAACAACAACGACAACACCTGAGCGCAATGGGAAAAGCTCTGGTCTCTAGTGATGGCAGACTCCTCATGCGCTCCGAACGGTCCTTCTTCAGGCTGGAAATCCCGGAACATCACGTCGCCGCCCGCCGGGAAGAGGAAGAAGTGGCAGCAACGCTGGAGGCTGTTCCACAAGAGGCGCCGCCCGCTAGGCGGAGGCTCAAGGGCGGCAACACGGGGCTTCCGATCGAGCGGCGTTCTTTCCACAGGTGGGGTGATTATCACGAGGTCGAGGAGGCGCCCAAGTGGCAGACTGAGAGGAAGTGGAAGAGGTTCGACTACGGCTTCGAGTAAGTGCTCCGTCTTCATTTGTTTCTCGCTTATACGCGTTGCCGCAATTCATCAATACACATGCACGGAGGAGGTCACACGAAAACCGCTGTACATGATTGTTCGAGGACACGCAACGGATGTTGTTGGACGTATGGTAGCCTTTTGCTGCGAGTGTACCCATGATGTGTGTGTGCACGTGGCAGTGTGCGGGTGCGGGTGCAGGTGTGTATGTCTCCTTTTTACAAACCGAAAAAAAAATGCAACGTGAAACCGTGGAAAACGCTGTTGAGGACGCCCCACTGTGCATGCATCCGCGTGATGTTCGTGTGTTTTTTCCTTCGCCAAAAGCATCCTTTGTTTATTCATGGTTTGAAGTCGAGAGAACGTTTGGTATCAGCTCGAGGTGCACACGAATGTATAGAAGATTGCATTTCTCGTGAGAGAGGTAGGGTTGAGGCAAATTTAGTCGTGCATCGAGCGGTGGGCGAGGAGATCGGCATCAAAACGCAATCCCCTAGCATCACTATCGCGTCAGTAGGGGACTAGCACGGCTGCTACCAAGGTTCGGAGCAGAGACCGTAACGGATACTTTTGCACAACCACAACCAACCAACCAACCAACCAACCAACTCACCCGAATGCTTGTTGCACGGCCCCAGCAGCTGTATGGACAAGTGCGAGCACACGAGCAATGACGGCATCAGGGGGCGGGTGTGCGACTCGACGTGCGAGGACGGGCACCCCTACGGCAACCTGGGCTGTTCCGCAAAGGGCGGAAGGTTCGGCCCGCACTGCCGGACTTGCTTCAACGACGTCGATATGGCCTTGATGAGAGACACGCCTAAGAACCGTGCCATCATGTGAGAACTGCATCCTTGCGAAGGATGGGTGCACAATGCATTCTCAGACAAAAACGCGTTTTTCGCATCAAGACTTTTGGCGGAACCCTGCGCGAGCCGTGGCGTGTTTGATGCGACGGGCTCACGTCGGTCGACGGCGAGTTGCCACGAGAGTCTGTCGCGAAAATAGGCAACAACATAAACAAAAAACGCCATTGAAAGATTGATATTCCGTGGCAGTGCCATTGTGGGTTCCGTACAACGCAACCGTCATTTTCGCTTCAAGAAACCTGCTCTCTGCCCTACTTGTATCTTGAGAAGCTCGTGTTCCCATACCGCATTCCGAGCAAAATCTCTCGGCTGAACGCCGGCAAGGTCTCGCCCTCGATGGAGTGGGACGACGCAACCTGTCTTGCGCCTGTCGGCGGCCATATTCCTCCGTCCTCTCACTTCCCGTGTACTGCCCGTGCGCTCTCTGCCCCACTCGTCGGGGCCCGACATAACCATCGTCCAGGTGCTCAACGATGCTGCCAGTGGGGGCCCGAACTTCACCAGAGTCAGACCGGGCTGCTCCTAAGAAATATGATGCTCATGCTGCTCGTGGTGTAAAGCAGGGGAGACGAGTCTTGCGCACGACCTCCTCAGCAGGCGACGCGCCTTCCGAGTAAGTTGCTTCCTTTGGTTCCACGCACAACGCGATCGTTCGGTCAAGGCGTATGATGGCGCGGATCTCTCTCTCTCTCTCTCTCTCTCTCTCTCTCTCTCTCTCTCTCTCTGAAGGGGAAAGAGGTTGGGGTCAGGAGGAAGAGAAGGGTGCCCCTACCCAGATTTTCACTTACCACGACTGTATCTTCAGACCACAGTCAACGCCTCCGACCGTTCGCTCGCTCGTTTAACCCGCGCGCGACCTTACGACAACCCGTTCCCACATGCGGTCCACCACCTACCCCGGCTGTTATGATGTGACAGCTGCAATGATTCCTGCGAGTACACCAGCAATGACGGGACCACTGGGCGCGTGTGCGACGACACGTGCGAGGGCGGCAATCCCTACGGCTTCTTTGGTTGCGATACCAACGACGGACAGTACGGGGGCAACTGCCGATACTGCTTCAACGACGTCGACAGCGCTCTCGAATTTGACGCACAAGACAACCGCTCCATCATGTGAGAGATTTTTTTCTGACACAGATGCACAGCTGTATATCTTGACGAAAGATTCTTGCTTTTGCGGAGGGTGCCCGAACACGTGGTCACGGGAGAAATCACGTTGTTACCCTGCGAAATGGGCAAAAAACGTATTTCTCGAGGATACCTCGATGTTATAACGTTCGCTCGACTCCCTTCCATTATTTTCGCGGACGTCGCCGCCCTGGAGACCTACTGCAGCCCACAGCGTTGCCCTTCTGTGGCCCTCTACCTGGACCCCCGGAATTGATGCCGACCATATGATCGCGCGACCACCGGCGTGCCATAGTTTTCTTGTGTGAGCCTCTAGCGGCTGCTATAGGTTCCTGCCACAGCAGTGCGCAACGCGGCGCTGATTCTGCCAAGAGGTGAAAATTAGAAAAACACCACACGTGCGCAAGAGTGATATCAGTCTTGAAAGAAACTCAAAAGAGGTGTGGCGCAAGAACATAATATTTCGTAGCTAACACCTTATTTCCTCCTGCTCCCTGCTTGTTCGACCTGCCTCGAACCTCCGCTCCTGAACCAAAACGGCATGGCAGGTGCGACACGTTGCTGCCCGTCGACGTAAACTCACGTCGCCTGGTCGACTCGTCGCTGCCCGTCGACGTGTACTCACGTCGCCTGGTCGACTCTTCGCTGCCCGTCGACGTGTACTCACGTCGCCTGGTCGACTCGTCGCTGCCCGTCGACGTGTATTCACGCCGCCTGGTCGACTCGTCGCTGCCCGTCGACGTGTACTCGCGCCGCCTGGCCGACTCCCCCGAGGCGATGGCTATCACTCCCCGCGCATCGGCGGGGGCTTTGCCTTCGTCGGCACGGCACTTCGCCCCCACCGGCGCGACCGACAAGCAGGCGCTCGCGTTCGCCCAGGCGGCCAAGAGTCCGTTTACCGAGGACGTCGCGTACGGCTCCCTGTGCGCTTTCATTGCCGGGCGCGCAGGCGAGGTGGACGAGTGGGCCGTGACGGTGTCGAGCATCCAGAAGTTCGCCCCCGGCATGAGGGTTGCGGTGGCGGCGGAAGAAGAGGCGGTGCATCTGTACGAACGGTGAGAAAGCACGCGTCGACCGTGAACGTGGTGGATGGTATGTCCTGTGCCTTGCCATGAGCTATATCTCTCCAGACCCACCTTTCTTGCCGTCTCCTCGTGGTCGTGGTTTATCTCTTGTCGTCGTCCTTTCATGTCTACTTTGTGCTGTTGTGCGCATCCCGATATTGTTGTTGAAGTTCAGGCTGTGCTACGGTTAGCATTCTTGTTTCCTACCTCATCGTCGCTCTCACATCCGCTGATGACTCTCTTTCTCTCTCCCTCTCTCTCTCTCTCTCTCTCTCTCTCTCTCTCTCTCTCCCTCACTCTCTCTCCCTCCCTCTCTATCTCTCTCCACCTCCCTCCCTCTCTCTCTCTTTTCTCTCTCTCCCTCTCTCTCCCTCTCTCTCCCTCTCCATCTCCCTCTCCCTCTTCCTCTCTATCCCCGTCGCTCCCTCTGCCCCTCCCCCTCGCCTCGCCCACGTCTCCATTGCGGAAGGGCGGTCGGCCCTCTTCCGGGCGTCACAGTGGCCAGCACCCCCAGCGCCCTGACGGCGAGCCTCTATGCCGACAGGTACTGCGGCGGCACCAACTCCACTAGCCTCATCATGTACGTCACCCGGGGCTCCACCTTCTCGCGCCCCTTAACCTCGAAAGACACCCACTCCCCGAGAGGGGACCTTCTGGTGGCGCACAGCAGCAGCGCGACGGCGAGCCACCACGTCGCCCACCTGGCGAAGCAGACGGCCTCCGTGCTGGCCTTGTCCGAGGGCGGCGCGGCGCCACCGCCACCGCTGCCGCTTCCGCCGTCGTTCACGTTCGGCACGGACCTGATGCTGCCGGCCGGTGCCAACGCGGACCTGCGGGACCTGTTCGCGTCTAAGGGCGACAAGGCGACCTTCCAGCAGGCCGTGCAAACCCTGGCGGACCTCGACGATCTCGCAGCGGTTCCTCAGGTGCGGCGAGCGTTTGGTTCCGCGTCTTCTCGCCCATGCGATGATGGGTGGGCGTGTCTTAGGTTAGGCAGGCACCGCGAAAGGAATTTTCCAAGTGTGCAACCCGCTAGGAGCAGTTCGTCCGGAAAATAGGGCGAAGGCCAAGACTAAGCGGTACATTGTCAGAACTGCAAGACAATTCTAAGCTGCTGTACGACAAATACGAGGAGGCCGTTGTCCCACTATTGGTTGTCCCCGGGCCCTCTTCCTAGGAACGATTATTCTCACACAAAATCTCAAACCGGTTGACCATAGCCTTCCGAAACTGCTCAGCACTCTGTTTTCCAAATGATAGATCTCCGGTGCTCTCCCACGATATTTCGTGACGCAAGCTCTACAATGTCTGCGTCAAGCCTGACTTGGCAAGTCTCACCAGTAAGTTGTAACTCGCCTCGCTTTCTGCGTATCCTCTTTTCCCCAGGCCCTTGCCGCCCTCCAATACTCCCGACAGCCGGAAGGGGTGTGGTTCCTCGATCCACAGGCATGGGTTTCCGAGTATCTCTTCAAGGAAGTGTCGATATGGGATATCCCTCTGGTCAAGCCACGGTTTACATGCGCCGTGGACCCGGCGCTACTGCGCAACCACGCCTCCGCTGGAGCCGCACGGGGCGGAAGAAGCAGTTTCGAAGTGGCGCAGGTTTTGCAGGATGGTCTCGACTTTTTCTCGAAGGGAGGAACGTGCTCGAACGGTCAAATCGACTTCAGACCTGAAGACGCATGACTGCAAGTTTGGTTGGGGGTGACGGGGGAGGAGGTGATATTGGCTGATTCTGGCCATTAGCGTGTTACAGCAGTTGTTATCGTAAGTATGCTCGTCGTGTCGTGTGGTTATCGTTCGTTCTTCCGATGTACAGTAGGTCAGTGGTGTGTTTAGGCATAGACCACGCCCCTGCCTCCTACAGGCTTGTTGTATTCATTTTTGCGTTGCATGTGTTGTGCGTCTGTGGAGTGCCCGGGACGATTCCGTCTCAGTAGATCTCCTTGTGTTCATTCAGTTCTTTCTATTCCATGTTCACCACAAAACATGCACAGAGGACAAGTACTGCGAGGAATCCGCTTCCTTTCTGGCCCTCACGGAGGTTTTCCACGTTTCAACCCGCCACAGCGGTTTTCACTGCCTTGTTCAACGCCGACTGATTTCCACCAGCGTGCAGTAACACTTTCGCAAGATAAGTTAAGTTACCGAAGCAAATATTCTTGTCGGAGTTTGTATCAGTTGTTCCCTGCCCCAGTCTTGTCTTAGCCGCTCAATCCAGTAGAGAAGACTGAGAGGCAACAATAACGAATCATCATCTATCTGCTGGAGCCCCTTCGCCACTTTTTGAGTCTCAAGCACCTGGGACTGTAGGCCAGCGACAGACAGTTGTACGACATTCGGCCTCACGCCAGAGAAGGAGACGTGCGTGTGCATGGTCGAAAGTGCTTCCTTCAGGTGTTGGGAGACACACCGTACCGATTGATCTACCGGCGTTTGCGCGTCCAGATTAGCCGATGTCTATTTTTCCACAGCAATATTTGTGTCAGCCTCCCTTGTGTCTGGGGTGGTGCTCGCTCATGATTTTGGAGGGCCCACAGGGGGGTATGCTGAGCAAATGACTCGACTGAGCAACATCTCTCACGACAGTTTTTGACGACAGAAAGACACCATCAACGGGGAAGGAAGAAAAATAACCGATTCACGATTGATTGTGAAACGCCCAGTCCTAGCGCGGTGTTCAACTCTGGGAGGAGTGATGCGTACCATCTATATCGGTTCGACCGCAGCCCCGCAGTTAGAGAGTGCCGATCGGTACGTCTGCTGCTCTACGAATTCCCTTGGCAAAAGGGCAGTTTTCTAGGTTGGCAGCAGGTAAGCCGACCCTACAACCGAACCCACCCTGTTTGTGGTGTTTCGCGACAACGTATGTAGACTAATATAGTGGAACTGGATACCTTTAAGTATAGACTACGCGATTTTGTGTGTGCATTTACACAGTAGAGAAACAATACATGGTACGTCATGATGGCTTCCCTTCCACTGTCGTACCGCTCCGCGTAAACAATCGAAAACCACAAATAAACTCACATAGACTATCCATAAAACCGAGAAGAAAGCGATCATGAAGCAGCGACGCCAGGAAAAAACCGTAAAAAAATGCGAAACAAAGCCGGAATCAGGCGAGCACCATCACCTCCGCGCGTTTATAGAAGGGCATTGCTGTGGCAAGCTACACGCGAAGGCCCGCAAGGAAAAAACATTCCCCTTCGGGATGAAAAGCATCGCGAAAGACGTGCGTACAGCAGTACTGCTGTAAGGCGTTCATGGGAACTGATATATCTTGGCGAGAAGAAGCACTCGCGTTGTTGTCTTCGGCTGGACGGAAAATCTCAAGATCGCAGCGCAGGAGGTAGGTCAGGTGTGGTAGGGTGGTGACGGGCGGAGTTGTGATTCAGGGCGGGAGAGTAATGTCGACAAAGCCGACCACATGACACACAGGGAAGAGGTAGAATCCGCGTTCGATCACGTCTGGCTTGACGGGTAACCTCTTGGTGCTCCCGCATTGCTGTGCACAGCTGTAGTCTACGTACCCTACTTGTTGCACAACTAAATACTGGTCAGCGTTGTTCTGCTGTGTGCTTGTACAGGTATCTACTTACCGAAATATCGCATGGTAGCTCCTGCCGGTCGATGCGATGGTTTGCGATTGAGAGGCACGAGGCACGGACCTGAGGCACGAGACTTTGGTCAATCATACCCCCCGGAGACAGACGCCAGCTGCTCTGCCGGGAAAGGAAAAGAAACATGAGCAGCAATCCCTCGAAAAAACGGCATGAAAGCTCTTGTTGAACTCCCCCAACCGACGACCTCCAGCACCTTACACACCCAACACACCCATCTGCCGGGTGAATGACGTGAAGTCGGGGGCGCGGACGCGGAGCAGCAACTCTGACGAGAGCGTCAACAGGGAGTGGCGCAACGAGTTGCCTGGCGCGGGTTAGGTGTTAGGATCGGATGGACGTGGACGGGGAGGACGAGGAAGACTTGTTCGATGCTATCCTTCAACCCCCCGACCAGGTTGGTTTTGTTGGCGCCTTCGATCTACATGACAGCAGCAGCAGCAGCAGCAGCAGCAGCCGGCTTTGCAAAAAAAGATGCCTATCGATTGACAAGAGGTTGGGGTGCCACTGATGCGTGGCTGTCCAGTCGGGCTGCGATGCGGCCGGGTTGCATCTAAGGCTGGGTGGCGTGCATGTCTTGTCCTTCCCAGCCATATGCACCGATTGCACCGATCTTCAACACACACTGGTTGTCCCCTCTCTCGTTACACCTATGCATACTGCTGTACTGATGCAAAATTCATGTACACTCGGAACACGCAGGAGCAGGTGGGTGGTGTTGCCCCACGCATGACCCCTGTATGCGATGGGTGTAGCTATGTATGTTCCGTTGGGGTCGACACAGCCAAAAGCTTGCACTGCAGCTGGACCAGAAATCCAATGCTGCCGGCCGTAATAATCGTGATAGGAGCCGCCTTTGCCGTTGCCGGTACTGCTGTGTAAGGAGTGCGGCGTTTGTTCCAAGTGCCGTCGTGGTGTCATTGTTGCTTGCACTCCTATCCCGCGTGTGCGCACCGGCGTTGCTGCGACAACGGCAAACACACAGAGGCGGTGGGGGTATTAGTGTAAAGTGGGGTATTAAGGGACACCCCCCATTAAGGGACACTTTTTTCAAATGGACGTATCTCGGCGCACAATCCGCGGAGGCCCCTGATTTTTTTCGAGGCGGTTGCAGCAAGCCGTTAGCTTTCGTTTGCGCACTTCAGCGTGCTGATCGGATCACGCAGTCACGAGATACAGCAAAGCAACTCCCAGCGCCGCTGATGCGGTGCATCTTGCCCCTTTTCGGGTTCCTGCTGCTAAGCATTGGCCCGGGCACAGATCGACGCTTCTAGTTTCGAAAGCCTGCGACTCGCTACAGAGCAGATATCAACTAGGGCTGCTCCCACAGCCTCTAGGGTGCCCAAGAGCACCCTACACACGCGTACGCAGTAGAAGGGGAACGTGGGTGCCAAGGATAAAGGCCAAGTGTCCCTTATTTGCGGCTCGGGGAGTTTTCCGCCGTATTTTCGCTGACAAGTGAGGTGTGCTTTACCGGGTCTATCTCATGCCTAGACTATCGAATCTCCTCACTGTTGCTGTTGAGACGTGGCCTGTGATCAACCGTATTGTGCGATACCTCCACATCCTTGTAAATCGTTCCCATGCCAGAGAACGAGCTGTTTGCGTGGGGGGTGCCTTAGGTGTTCCTTAATCGGTACTTTTACTGTAGAGGATCGAGCCCCGCCAGAGCCAATTGGCTGCTGGGGGGTCATGCCGCTGTTTTTTTTTGTTTTTGTTTTTTGTCTGCACTTCAAATCAGCGCTCACGTCACTAGTGCCGTTTACTCCAACCCGTGGTCACACAGAAGAGCCCCTCTCTACCCTCCCCTCCTGCGGTACTTTGCCTTCGATTTTTTATGCGAGACGAGTTCAGCACTCTCTTCCCTCTGTGTACACACGAACTAGCGCTATCCACTAGGCCAGGAGCGGAAGCGAGAGAAAAACTCACTTTGCAAGAAAAGCTCGCTTACGCCGGGATTCGACCCCCTGACCTGACCTCTAGAAGGTTTCGAGGTTACCAACTAGACCACCGGGGCGACCGGTTGAGCTGTTGGTGTGACGGGAAAGGGTAGGACACTGTGGCGAAGCGGTTTTGAAGAAGGGGTTTGATGGAGGAGTACACAGAAAGGAGGGCGGTGCGCTGGTGAAAAACGGAGCATGATGGTGTGGCACGGAGGAAACTAATCTTTGACGAAAGAGAGGAGAGATTGGCGGAGGCAGTAACGAAGGTGGAGGAGGGGGTGCGGCAGAGAGCAAGAGGTTCAAAGTTTCAACCGTGCTCATCTGTCCCGCGTTCCATACCAGCTCATCTTCCTTCCACACAAGAAACACCGGAAGACTTCACCGCTCTCAAGAACCTGAGGGAGTTAAGAAAACTTAAAAGACCTTGAACGTAAGAACAATGCTCAGTGTCGAGTCCCATACTGAAACCTATACAGTCGCTTTGGGTTCACCATAGTAGAAGAAATTCATGACACCATGACACTAGTCACGGGCAGACGAAGAGGTTCTAACAATTGTAGGCGCCGTGTGCGTAGTACAAACGAGGATGATAGCACGGAAACCAACGAGGAAGATAGCGCCCGCAACAACTCAACGAGGGAGCCAGCAGAACACGAGTCAACCTCGGTAGACAAGCTGCGTTAGTTTTTGTCTGCATCTGTTACCGTCCTTGTGCTCCCCCATGGCCTGTGGAATGCAAACACACGTTGACGGGGCAGTGTGCGTGGTCTGTGTTCGATATGTGCTTGTGCTGTGTTTCTCTTTCGTGCTCATGCCCTGCTGAAACCAAGCGCTGCTGCAAGCAGCGCTGACAACAACACCGCCATCGTAAGGCTAACAACACACACACAAACACATGTCCTTCAATCGCCTAGCCTGTCCAATGACGACGCCCTCACACGGGGCCCCAGATCATGGCGTTTTCGAAGTGCTTTCTGTGTTCAGCCGCACACTTCGACTGACGTTTTTCCATTGGTCAGCCGGTTGACGTGGTCGATGCTAATAACAAAGACACACCCACCCACCCACCCACGCACACACACACACACTCGTCAGGACGACCAAGACCTGCTGAGCTTCTTCCTTTCGCCGGATGGACTCGACACCACCAACGATATCGTCTGCTCACCTCCCGCCGCCGATGGTGATGGTGGTGGCATGACCACCCGCTCGCGCAACAGCAGCGGCGGCGGCGGCAGCGGCGGCGGCGGCGGCGGAGTTAGGTATGTATGATCCCGACAATTGTGTGTCTGAATGGACGCTGACCTTGCTGGTATCTTCTGCAGCCGAGTTTTGTTTTTGTCTTGTTTGTCCGTATCAATGACCATTCGAGCTCTCAGCTCTGTACCTTTTAGCATCAATACCGGTCTTGCTGACGCCGACGCCTTCCATGGCCACAGTTCCTCTAACCCCAAAAGAAAGCTCCACGCCTCGAAACACGACAACAGTATAAAAGAATCGCCTCGCGGCTCAGGTCATGAATGTGGTCAGGACCTCCGATGATGCACGGAAGAACGAGAGCGGCGCGTCATGTGTTGTTGCTCTTGCACCTGTGTTTGTGTTTTTGTCCAAAGCCGCAAGAATTAATTAACAAATACAACAAAATTGAACGAAGTTTAACGCGCACACGCTCACACATGCGTTTGAAGACAGCCAGTTTCGTGTGCAAGTAGCGTCAGGTGGACTGTGCCCGTTCCTGCTTAACACAACACGATACAGATGTGAGCGGTATTACTTTCGAACAGCATGTGTTTCTGCTGAGTTTTCGGCCGTGTTGAGTCAGTCGAAACGCAGAAACTGGTAAATGTCAGCTGTTGTGCGACAAACTCGATTCGGGGCCGTTCAAGCAACTCCTCTTCTTCATATGATTTTTCGCCGAGGACCTGCCTGGTGACCCGACTTTCTGGTGCTCTGCCTCTTCCTGCGTCCTGTGCCACGCCCTCGTCCGATTTACTGTTGCCGCGTGCTTGTTGTCATCAGCGGCTCTCGTCGCTCGTCTTCCCCCCCCGACCTCCCGTCGGCGGTGACGGCAACTCAGCGGCGCCGAGGGATGCAGCAACAGCAGCAGCAGCAGCAGCAGCAGCAGCAGCAGTACCCCTCGCCGTACAACCCGTCCCTGGAAACAATGACACAACAAGCAACACCAGCGTCAGCAGCACCAGCGTCACCGCTGCCATCGATGGCGGGATTGCTATCGGGCGCGGCTCCTGCTGCTTCTTCGGGGGAAATTTACGCCCGGCTTCCTTCCAGAAACACGAGTAACAGCAGCAGCATTCCGAGCCTGTCGGAGAACTTCGGGAATCCTGCTGCGGCTGCTGCAGCTGCCGTGGAGAGAGGGAGCGGAGGGGGAGGGGGATCTCATGTCGGCATGTCCAAGAAGTTGTTAGGCCCGCGGCCCCGTGGCATAGGCAACGCATCCGGCGTTCAAGCGATGGAAGGAGTTGAAGGTGGGTACCGCTGTGTAGGGCATGCTGGTGTCGCTGCTGATACTGCGTTCGTTGCCCATGCTTATACCCGCTCCTGCTGCTCGTGCGGCGTTTTTTGGTCCGTCGTTGACGGAGAAACGGGGGCTTGTTTGGGACGGGCTTCGCAAACCGGCAAACTTCAGACAACATTTTCCACACACACACACACAGACGGTCGAGCGAGACAAGGGGCCGCACTAAGCCCCATTTTTCGGGGACCGGTTTCGATGATCCCTCCACCCCCCCCGGGTTTTCGTCGCTTGGCAACGACGTTGTAAAACAAGCCAATTCACTTCGTGAACTCGGCAACCAGGTTACCGTTTTTTTTTTTTCCTCCGTTTTTTTTTTGGCGGTAACCATAATGGTGGTCGAGTAGATCATGTTGTGCGGGGTCGAGAACCCTCACTCCGCGCAAGGGGGATGATCGAACCACGTTGTGTTAAAATGGTCAAGCACCCTCGAGGCAGTTACACAGTGCTTACAACTGTCTCAGGAAGTGAAAGCACCAGAAAATAAATTAATTCTTACCCAGCTGTCGTCCGTACGCAGGGAAGTAAGCACAAGATGCCGAAAACCCTTAGCAGGATGCAGGGCACCCTTCATGCGACTCGCCGAATATCTCACGGCGCTTCGCGCTTGGTGATGTGAGAGCC